TGCGTGGGAAAACCTACACCTACATGTATATAATTATGTTTAATTCAAATTTGAAATGTTCCTATTAACTGAGGTGAAATAAACTGAAATTAACTGAGGTGGTAGTAAAGTAAATTCGTAATCACGAACTGTTCCTATAAAGCACTGTAAGGTTATGACTCTTGGTTGAATTATGAACAAAGTGGCGACTGCTTCATTCAATACTGTAGATTTGTGTTATATTTTTCAGCGACAAATTACCAAATGGTAGAATGTCTAGAATAAAGTTCTTGTCCAAACGTCTACCTCGGGTATAAAAATGCTAGTAATCTAACATGTTCTTAAAATTAATTGCTTTTTGAGCCTTTACACTCGCATGCACAGCTTTTTCTCCAGAACAAATTTCCTTTCAAATTGGGCATACCTTGCCTGCAGCCATAAAACTCCACTCTCAATGAAGGGTATCCTTGGTATGTTTTAACGTTGATCTTGATAAATCTGGCAATGATTGGGGGATGAAGGATACGGCCTTCGGCATTCACATTGTCTGTGTTTCCTTGCAGAACCTTAAAAGTTAAGAAATGTGGACAATGTTACTCCGTGGCGTGTACCCCTCTCATTCCCTCACAAATTGTAAACCTTAGCTTTCTACGCAGACCTTCTTCTGGTTGGTCACACACTCCTCCCGCGTACGAATGGGAAAGGGGGATAAGCCAAAAGAATAGCTGGATAGGAAATGTCACGTACCTGGCCATTATTGTATGAAACGAATGTTCCGCCATCTACACTGTATGCCAGGGTATAAGTTTTTGACCACCAGCCTGAATCATATCGCCCTTGAGTAGCGATTCTGGTTACCTTGGTAACCTTGCCCAAGTCAATCTGTAAGAACTGATTAGCATCCGGGTATTGGGATATCCATCCTCCGTGAAAACTCCCTAAATCAATGCAGAATAAATGGAGTGTTATTTAACGAGGAAAGCCAAATGAAACCTGTTACATACCAGCACGGGCAACATTATCTACCTCACAACGTTTTTGCAGAACTGGGAAATCGAATCCCTCTCCAGGGCTCCTCAAAGATTATAAATATATAATTTTCTTTTGCATCCAGTCAGTGAAATAGAGTTTATCTGTGACATGGGTGCGTAGTGGGATCGATTGAATGACTTGTACAGAAAAATCCACACCCATATTACGGGTCTAAACCCATCCTGGATTCCTTTTCTTTAGCTCGAATGTCAAGGTCCAAATCAAATTGAAAAACAGTAACACCAACAAAGTTAAAGCTATTATGGGCTATTGACAATTAGTAAGGCCAAGATGGCTGGTTATTGCCCAAATTCCTTTTGTATGGAACAAGACGCAATTGTGGTCCACAGTCACACACAAACGAAGACCTTGACCATCATATTGCAGCGCGTGATTATTAGTATCTATTACATGGCAGACACAACATTTTTCTTGCAGGACGCAAAGGGCAATCCCAAGGGAAAGGTCTACGCGCAAAACGACACACTCTTGAAGCCAAGCTGTTACCTTCTGTTTTCTCGTTTAGTCTTCCTCGCTCTGGTCCCCAATATTGGTTATAACGTGACGATGCTACAATGGCTGAATCTGGTATTTGGCCGTCTTCCATTCCAAGAGGGGAAGCGCACACTATCTTAGGGATGTCAAAACCTATTGACGAATATTAAAAAAAAACATATCCTACAAGCTTTGATGCAGTAGTGGCTATAGATTTACAAAGTCCATTTTAGTCAAGATGTATTCAGTTAGTAAAGTACGAATATTTATATAAAAGAAAATGGTTTGCAAATGACATCATTAAATTTCAAAATAACAAAAAAATACCAGACCTTTTTAGTTTTTTAATTTCGAGGTATAAGACTTCAACATTTATCTCGTTACAAATTTTCAGAACTAATATGAGAGGTGGAGAAAGATGTCAAAAATGTTAAAACGTAGTCAAAATTCAAAGATTTTGTCCAGGGGCAACAGCCTCGCGGTGAAAAAAAATCATGTATGCAAGATACTCGCCTGACTTGCATCCATAAAAGTCAGCTCTTAAGGCAATGACGCCCTGCCAAGAGACTGGAATGATTCGGATGTATCGTGTTACTATGGACTTCTTCAGGAGATGGCTGACAACCATATATTGGTCCGTGTTGCCTTCGAATTCCTGCACGGAGAATTAAGAACCAACAAGTTTAACTCATGGGAAATGCTTTCTAAATCGTACTTTGAAATGATTGCCATTAGAGAGGTCAAGCATGACGTTTACGGCAAACGGCAAACGGTAAAAATGAAACTTTTGCCGTCTCTCTTCAGCTGTGTGTACAGTAGAGCGAAATTATTTGTATTTGTAATGTATAGTAGGAGACGTTATTCCATTTTTGTGAGCTTTATTTGCGGATGAGAAGAAAAGAACTCAAAATCAGAAGTTGTCTTTGCCGTCTGCCGTTAACGTCATGCTTAACCTCTCTATTATCTTGAACCAGCTGCATCTCAAAACTATTCAGAGTTTTCTTCAATTTTGAAATTAAAATCCGTGAAACCTGTTGCGGCCATCCTGGCAATTCAACAACACTAAAAGGCCTCGTGTAGACGTTCAGTACATGCAAAGTAGTGGAGTGGAGTTTGGCCTCGTGTTATGCATTGCCTTTTCAAATCATTACAGTTTTCATCTGCTGCCCACTTGACTCTTCTTAAGCTATGTCGAGGCCACTCTTCACATGCATGTTTCCTGCATGATGCAACGATGCGCTCCAACAGTACTCCAACGATGTGGCGCATAAGTTGGCCTATTTTGAAAAACCTCGACAGGATGTTGCAGTAGGGACACTCGGACCATAAAATATTACCTTTTCTCTACCTTTTTTTTGGTGACTATAAAATGAAGGCTCTTCATATAATGTACAAGATTAGCGTTTCTACGTTGCGAAAACACTAATAAGTACTCTGTGAAATTGAATGAAGAGGAAAGTAATGACTAAAAGGAGGTTAAGTATTCACGGTTCGAATTCCATAACACTTAGTTCGCGTTGTCCAGAACGGACTGTATATTCATCATGTATCGATCAGAATCATACATTAAAAGGAGCTTATTCAAGGTATTTTGAGCTATTTTGTCGACGCACAAAATGACGTCCAAATTGAAGAAAACCTATCCAGAGAGATAATAATAAACCATAAAGGAAAAATGATGGTTAAAGTTGGAGAAGACTAACACGGATTACAAAGGGCAAACTTGAAAAATGTAGGTTAAATTTTTGAGTTAGCTCCTTACCAAGAATAACTTGGAGAAGGTCCGCGGTTAAAGAACTTAGCCAATAGGTCCATGCACCTGACCTGGAATGAAATCCAAAAGATGGTACAAGACCGTTCCCGCTTAGAGAGACAATGAATGCCCCAATGCTCGGCGGTGAATCATATTACAAACCCGACGGAAGAAGCGTTGGTGACTTAGTATGTACCGGCTGTAACTATCCACTGCAGTTTCAAAAGGTAATAATCTCATTAAAAAATTGTGCATTGATAATGGTTCATTTCAACAGATTAAATAACTACCTTGACTTGGCCGCTGTCTTCTTTGTATTCCTCGTAGAACACTCCATCGTAACTATAAGCGAGTTTGTACTTTGTAACCCACTGTGCTGCGTTCTGCCTCCCTTGGGTAGATACCCTGGTCACCTTGGTCCAGCCTCCAAGGTCCACTTGAAACCATTGCTGTTGGTTGGAGGTACCAGCTATCCAGCCGTAATAATGATGAAGGCGACCCAGAGTTGGACTGTAGGTAGCGCTGTTCATACTGGAAGCCGTTATAGAGGAATCAGGGATGTTTCGATTTTCCAGTCCCAGTCCAGCCATGCACGCAGGAGGCTTGGGGGCTCGAAATCCTGCCGCAAAAATACGATTTTAAGAAACAAATTGCTTAGGTAACCGAGGTACGTAGCCTATGTGTTTCGAAGCGAAGGGGGTGCTGTAATGTTATCCATCACTAGATGGATGGTTATTTTGAACTTTGAAAAGGGCTCTTCACAAAAAGTAATCTCTCATAACGAATCTGAATGAATGAATGAATGAATGAATGAA